AACACAACACCAGAAATGATTTTAATCTTCTCCATTTCCATATTTGTAATACCCCTTAATAAAGTTAAGACATCTGACTCTCAACATCTTTGGTATATGCACTGAAGGAAGGTCACCATGTACTACTTCACCAAATGGGAATAACAAACCTACTGTATAGACTACTCAAAAAAATAGACTAAACAAAACATAGATCTTTTGCAGTTCTTTTTTTCTCTGAGTTGATAAGACAGATACTCAAAGTACTGTGTTCAAAATGCAATTATGGGGGCGCCTGGGTGGTTCAGTCGGTTTAGCATCCGACTTCGGCTCAGGTCATGATCTCACAGTTCATGGGTTCGAGCCCCATGGCGGGCTCTGTGTTGACAGCTAGCACAGAGCCTGGAGCCCGTTTCAGATTCTGTGTCTCCCTCTCTCTCTGACCCTCCCCTGCTCATGCTGTCTCTCCCTTTCTCTTTCTCTCTCTCTCAGAAATAAATAAAAAACGTTTAAAAAAAATGAAACTTTGTGTTTTTCACTGTCATAGGGTTATATCACACATTTGAAAATTTTTGAGTTCATTTGTTTCTGTTTGTTTCTATATAGAGTTTTTTCCTCCATTGATTTAGATATAAATTTGTTGTGTAAAACACTAACATGCCTTCAAAACCAAACTATATAAACAGAACTATATAAACAGCAATCCAGACCTGTCACCTGCTTCCATGCCCTTCCACCCTATTTAACAACAGCCTTGTAGATAATCTATCACATTATTCTCTGGTTTAGTCTCCTGCTTCATTTTGCAAAGGGATGCAGATAGGTTTATATTTTTAGCCTCTCCCTCTCTTTTTTAAAAAATAAAAGAGAGATTATTATATTTATTCTTACACTTTGTTCTTTTTTACTTAATGGATTAGAATTGCTTATAGAAGCCTTGCTCATTGTAGTTTAGCGCTACCTATTATTCCAACGTGTACATGTATTATAGCTTCATTCCTCAATTTTCATTTTTTTAATGTTTAAGTATTATAACTAGTAGTCCTCTATTTGTGATGAACATTATAAATATTTTTCTCCCACTTTAAATTTGTGTTTTGACTGTGTTCATGGTGATGTAGCCATGAAAAAATGGTTTAATATTCTCTAATTACTTGAATTAGTTAAATTTTCTTTGTCGTATCAGAGTTTTTCAGTCATATCTTAAAAAGTCTTTCCATACACACAGTTATAGAGAAATTCACCTCCTTTTTTTTTTAAACCCAGTGTGTTATCATTTTTTATGTTAAATCTCTGATGTATTTAGAGTGTACCTTTTGATATGTTGTGAAATATGAATCAAACATTGTCGTTTTCTAAATGACTGTCAAATCATCCCAATAATCTTTGTATAGCCACCATGCTAGGTCCTATAACAAGAAAATAAATAGAATCCAAGCCCTGATATTTAGTGTCTTATGGTTTCTAAGTAGACATATATGTTAACAAATAGTTTCAATATAGTAAGAACAATGCTTCAAAGAGGATGTAGTGAGTTGTTGTGGATGTGATGGCCAAGTCTAGCTACACTAATGTGTTCCCAGTAACACTGGGTATTGAAGAACATGTAGAAGTTTTTTGTTCCAACAAGAGCAGATTGAATTTCTGAGAGAGGACACAGCATGGGTCAAGACAAAAAGGAACAGAACAGCAAAATGGATTGGGATGAGTGACTCCATCCTAGGCCCAAATTTTAGTCAGGATCCTCTGAAATCTTTTCCAGACTAGGATTCAATCATAGCCTGCTGCCCTGCCCTGGCTAGTTGAACCCACTTCTAGCAAGAATCCTGCTAAGCTAGTTCATGAAGAATCCCTCCACCCTTGACATCTGATCACTTTGGTCTTCTTGTAACAAGAATTCCTTTATCCTTGATATCTAACTAAGGTGCTCTAGTAAATGTGTATCCACTGAATCTTGACAAAGATTCTCTCCTTGATCAAACTCTAACGAGCATTCAGTGTCTTCTCTACTAGGCTCTGACTTGTAGAATTGCATGTTCATCTCTACAAGGTCTGGTTTAGCAAGAATCCTGTCAGTTTGGGCAGACCTCCATTCTCCAAATCTGATCACCCTCTATAGCTAATCAGGTTCCTCACCTCTACTGTCCCCACCCAGGGTGAGGTCTGATCATGCTGCCCTGCCTCTCAGCAAGAATCCTGTTACATAGGTTCAGCTCCTTACTGCTGATGTTTCTTTGTAGTGATTTTCCATCCACCTTCCTCCACTCAGCAACTTAGCTAAAATTCCCACTTTTCATTGTTGTATTCAGAGTCAAACCCAATCTCTCTACCCTTTTGCAGGAGTCCCTAAACCTGTCATGATAGCCCTTCCTTGAATAGTCTTTCTTATCATCTAAACAAGAGCCATTAAGTAATTTATCTTTGACATCTCTTCACTCTGCCTATTGGCTATGAATCCTCATCTGTCCTTGCTGAACTTAAAGTTACGTTCAGTTTCTCTTTCTTATTGGAATATACTCTTCCCTGTTGCAACAGTCTTGAACAAAGTCTTCCTAGCCAGGTTTCACAACTGTCCACACAATTTCTCTTTAAGAGGTATAGCATACATGGGAAGTGGACAGGGGTGGGTAGCCAAATGTGTGCCTACAGAAGTAACCAAAGAGAAATCACAGAGGCTTTACATTCCGTATAGTGGGAACCAGAAGGAATTTCAAATAAGGAGTGATGAGATCATTTTTCCATGTCATCAAGACCATGATGGCATGCTTATGGAAGATTCCTGATGGAAACAAATTAGAGTCATCATTCTCCACAGCTCACTGGCTTCTCTTTATCCAATTTCAGTGGAGTGTGTGGGAGGAAGCAAATTACACAGAAGTGACCTCAGAAATTACCCAGATGTCAGGGGAGAACAGCACACTACGGATGGGAGGGAGGAAGTTGCCAGCCAGGGAACCTAATCCCTCAGTCATTGGGGAGAGTATGGGGACTGCTGACCCAACAACAACATAAGCAACTGTCACATCATTCTTCAAGGACTATTGCCATACATCATTTCAAGTGGTTTCAAGAGAATCATAAAAATGAAATCATAATTCACATACCCAATGACATACCCAAGGACCCGCATTTCTACATGTGATATTTCCTGGATGTGTGTGGCATTCCTACAATATCAGAATTCACAAAGTGGCTAGATATTAGATACCCAGCTTTAGAGACTTCCAGGAAAATGTTTCATTACAATTGACAAGGGAGAGGACCTTCACTGCATAAATAAGGGAATTATTTATGGCAGCTCTTTATTTTTCTTACTTTATTTTAGAGAGAGAGAACAAGGGAGAAGGGAGGAGAGAGAGAGAGAGAGAAGGAGAATCTCTCAAGCAGGTTCTAGGCTCATGGTGGAGCCCAACATGTGGCTCCATCCCACAATCCTGGGATCATGAACTGAGCCAAAATCAACAGTCAGCTCAACCTACTGAGACACCAAGGCAACCCATCATTTTTATATTTAGTTATTACAAGTTCTGTTTCACACACCAGAATTAAACAGTCAAAAACGATGGTCCCCCCAGGGATAGTATATATGTCTAACACTTCCTTCTCTATATTTTTAACCCATGAGGTACCATATATTTGAAATTTTTAAGGGGGAACTTAATTCCATTTAGGAAAAAAATCAATTATGAGAAAATAATCATTTGAAGATGACAACATTTCATGAAAACCATACACCAGAAAGGCAGTCTTTTGTATGAATTTAGAAAAAGAACAAATCTGCTTTAAAAAATTATAAGTATTCTATATATATTTATTTACACATAAATATATATGTATAAAAATACATAAATTTATATATGAGAGAGAGAAACAAGAGAAAGAAACTTACATATATATATAGAGAGAGAGAGAGACAGAGAGAGAGAGAGACAGAGACAGAGACAGAGAGAGAGAGACAGACAGAGAGAAGAGGAGAGGAGAGGAGAGGAGAGGAGAGGAAAAACTTTTATGACATGACAGATCCACCAAACCCTCACCCCATTACCTGATTCTAGGCTTTGTCAATAAAAACAAAAAACAAACAAAAACCTTGGGGGTTAAAGCACATTTTTTCTGGTTTATGTTGCCAGAAACTGAATGTAATTCCTAAGGGATTTAGGACAGTGATATTCTCTGTCATATTATGGTGCCGAGATGAATACTCTCTAAATCAACAAATTCTTGGGAATGGCTATAGTCACAGGACCTGAAGCCCAAGAGCCTCAGGCAAAGGTCTGAGTTCCCTACTAGAGGTCTCCATGTCTATATTTTTAACAGTGGGTAACTTGAGAAGGGAATTGTGAGAAGTGAAAAACACAGCCTCAACTGTGGCCAAAGGCAGACTCCAGATCTGACAAGCAAAGATGGTGCTCTTCCAGAACAGACTCAGGACAGAGACCGCAAGCCCCTGGGAGGGCCAACTCAGCCTAACTGCAGGCCAGAGACTAGGCTTCCTGAACTGGCAAGGTGAGGAGATGCAAGAGGACGACCCATAATGGATGAACTGGCCAATATATTATGTCATATCATGAAATGTAAATGAAGAAAGAGCAAAGAGACTGACAAGTGTCCAAACAGCAACAATGAAGTAAGCAGGGCCCTGTGCTAAGGACAGGGATGAGGGAGGAAGGCAGGGCTGCCTGCTAAAGGTCTGGGTCTGAGATAGGAGTCCATTGATGAAGGGCAATTCAAGAAGCCAAGATCAATTTCATGGAAGCAGAAAGTAGAACAGGAATCCATGGAGATTAGGGTATGGGGCATGTATATGAGGAATCACTGTTGGAACAGCATGGAGTTTTAGTCTGGAATGATGAAAACAGTTCTAGAAAGAGTGATAGTGATGTTTCCAGGATAAAGTCAATGGCTAAATGCTACTTACTGTACACTTAATGATAAAAATGGCAAATATTAAATAATATATTTTTACCACAATATAAAGAAGAATCCCAAGTGTGCTTCACAAGAATTTTTAAACACAGGCAGAAGAAGTGAATAGCAATTTATGTGCCACACTCAGGTGGAATACAAGGTGACACCAGGAAAGCAGGTTGTAGTTGAAGACTTTGTAGAACCAGTGGTTTCTCAAACACACATCAAGAATGCACCCCCATCAGGCCTTCTTCAGCTTCCTGGCCCCACACAGCCACCTGCCCATAATGCCCAGCAGCTTCCTGCAGAGCCACAGGGTGCCCAGGGTGACCATCAGAAGGAATAAGATGACATCCAGCAGGTATTGCTCATGCCACGGCTGCTGCAGAGCATAGGGCTTGAGGTGGGCCGCTCCCCCTGTCTGGAGGATGTGGTCGATCCAGCCCACCAGCCTCTGGGCAGAGGTCAGGGGGTGAGAGCGCCTGATGATGCTGGCAGCCACCGCTGCTGACTTGTATCTGTTGGCAGACACAGAGGCAGGATGTTATTCCTGTGGCCTCAGACGTCTTAGACACCTTGAATCACACACACACACACGCTTTCCTCCACATGCACAGAAGGCTGAGTGTCAAGGAAAAGTGTTGGCCTGGTCTTGCCATAGCCTAGTTTGGACAATTGAAAAGTTCAAAATGGTCCCTTCAAGCAAAAATCCATGCCTAGTCCCAAAAGTGCTAAAGTATTAAACATAGACTAAGCTGTAAGGAAAAGTCCTCTTCCCAGGAGGCTTATGGAACACTAAAGGAAAAACTATATGTGACTATATGTGATGTACCATACACCTGACTCAGGGTAGATATCCTTAGAATGCTAATAGGATATTCTGTCCATCCTCATTATCAGATCATTGTGCCAGATGGAGATTTACCTAAGACATCATGGGTCCTTCTACCAACTCACTTAACAGAAATTCATCCTAACTTTGTGGCAGGCCCTATGCTAGGCCCTGAGAGCCCAGAGGAAAACAAGAGAAACACTGGGCCATCCAGGGGGCTTACTGTCTACTTTCTACTGTGAGGGACCCGTAATAAATTAAAACAAAAGGAATGGTGTAATAACGTATCTTGAGAAGTATTAAGAAGGTAAAACAAATTATGACTGAAAAGAGTGATAGAGGAGTGCCTTTAGGACTGTCAAACAAAGACCACATCTCTGAGGAGAGGACAGTAGAGATGAGTCTGACTGTCACGAAGGAGCCAGTCCTGAGAGGAGAAGGAAGGGTGTTCTAGGGAACAGCACTGACAAAGGGAAACTGTGTGGCATATTGGGAGACAGAAAGGAGACCTCCTGCCTCACTGAATTCTACTATAAGCAGCACTAAAATATAACACCTCTCTGAGACCCAAAGTAAGTAGGTCAGAGTCTTCACAACGCTTACAGTAGAAAATTATTCTCGACATCTAAACTAAATGCCTGGTATTGCTCTCAGAGGAAACAGATAACCTATCAGTACCATATACATTTGAGTTTCTGTCCCTAAAGTTTCACCTTTACTGCCAAACAGTGCCACACAGTGCCCATTGTGTTTCATATGTTCTTTTAGTCTAAATGATGACAAATTCTGAGAGTCCCATACCTCTTGTCTTCCATGACTTCTTTCATCTTCAGAGCAAAAGTCTCTGCCTTGATCTGCTTTAACTGGACAGAGACACCCAACTTCTTGGCTTCTACTCGGACCATGTTTTCAGGCTGGTCTCCAAGGACGGGAATCCCCACCATGGGCACACCGTGTTGGATGGCCTCCATCACGCTATTCATCCCACCGTGGGAGACAAAAAGACGGATGCGTGGGTGAGCTGTTGTAAAGCAGGAACAGAGCAGAATATGTCAGGTTGAAATCTTTCAGAACACCAGGGAAAGCATCAGAGCAGAGGAAAATACCAAGAGAATTCAAGGCACGTTGTAGAAAATGGATGTACTGATTTAGCTTTGAACACACTCAAGGGTATATATTCCAAGATAGAAGATTCTGGCCTTCTCGCAACAGAGACTCCTCTAAGTCAATCCATGTAAGACTCAGAGCCAACGGAAATTTGCAGAGAAAACTGTTAGGCAAGGCATATTCCTCCTCCCAGATATCCATCTACCTAGCAATCCATCAACTCTTCTCTCTACTTTGTTTCTCTCTGTGTTTTTCTTATGTCTTCCCTCTCTCTTGGTGTCTCCTTCTAGCTCGGTTTCTGTCTCTCATCTCCAGATCTAACCGTCTCTCCTTCACTGCTTGTGTATTTCCTCTTACTTGAAGTCTTAACACTTTCATTGTCATCACACCTCACGTGGCATTCCTCAAACATACATTCTACGTGCCTTCTCCTCCATTTCATAAGAAATCCTCTAAAGTAGGGTATGATGGACACCCCCCCCACTCAGTATTTCAGTTCCTGTGTGCTACTCCATTCTTTTTTAGAGAAAACCGAAACAAGGTGTTGATAATGAAGAGTTCATCTCAAACAGTGCCTCTCAACAGGGATGTGCATCAGAATCTATTGGTGTTTCCTTGAAAACCAGAATCCTTTTCCTTACTCCATGCCTTGTGGAAAAATATGCAGAACTCTCCATGTTAAGTTCCCAATATGTTTGTGAGCCATAATCTTGGGGTGAACCCCAGAGGCATTCAGTTGTTGTGGCAGCGAGAGTGCTCAAAAAAACTGGCACAAGGACAAAGAAACTCTTGGGGTGTAAGGAGCTGTTACCAGACAATTTTATAGACCAAGTAACAGGCTGTCAGGTTACACACCTTGACAGTCAGATATTTTGGCACACCCTTCAGACACCATCAGCATCAATTTCTTGAAAGTATGACTATACCTTTCGTAGCATAGGAACATGTACTAACATGTGTGGGAGTGTGTGTCTGTACTGTCACATGACCTAACAGGTTCACAAGAGGCCAGGAAGCAATGGCAAAAAGACCCCTGGTGTGTGTTCTCAAAGTCCACAAACTGCCTTCGATTGGGTTTGGACAACTTTTTTCAGTGCAAATATGTTTAGGTTGAAATAGCCTGATGAAAATATCACTTCTGGTGGCAAATATCAGGACTAGAATAGGAAGGAAGAAGCAAACATGGCAGCTTAAGCTTAAGCATTTGGGACGTATAGCCTGATTTCCCAGGAGCTTCAGGTGGCTGCATCTTCCCCATGCTCTAAATATTACTATTAGCTACCAACCGTCCCTTCTCATGGTGATGGAGTTGCCCCATGGAGCCCCAAGGAGACGTAACTAGAAAAAGAGAAATAGAGCCGGGCAGTCCTTACCCAAGAGGTCATTCTGAGGAAGCCAGTCCACAATTTTCACGTTTGCTGCCAATTTGACATCTTTGGGCCACTTAGAAGCCTGACACTTCCATATCACCCCTTGAGAGAGACGAGCAAAGGCACTGTTCATCTCCATGAGAACTTCCTGGGACTGATAGGTGCTCACCATGGAGCCCAGGGCCACAAGGACAAAACCAGAGTCTCCAAACTTGCTGATGAAATTCTCAAATTCCTGGAGAGAAGTAAGAAAGGAAGGGAGGTGAATAAAGCTGTTCACGGAAGCCTAGACAGCCATGAAATGAGAGACATCTATTGACCAAGCACAGCCTCCAATCAGTGCCTAGAGCTCCCTGTCTTCATACGCTTCTCATAGCTCCGAGGACAGCTTGGTACCCTCTGCACTGTGCTCATGTCTGTTATTTCTGGTAGCCTTGAAGTCACACACCACACCATACAAATATTTCCAATAATCACAAATGGATGCCAAGAGACCCTAGGTGTCCAGCCACTACCACAAAAGCCCCCATTGCACATGAGGCACTTAATGCATACTGTAGCATCAATATCTAGATTCAGGACTTCCATGTATAACAATGTTTCATTAGAGGAAATTTGAGGTGATGACAACTTCTTTCTTCATTGTGCACATGGCTCCAGTACCAGGGTCATCCTCATCTCTCATTTTTGTCTTGGGAGATATGGCCATTTAGGAATGTTCCCATGCCAGATCAGAGATGCTAGTGCCTGGGTGAGTGCCAGTTGCTGTCGAGGCCTACTAGGCGGCAGGAGGCATTCTGGAGGCTGAGGTAGATGCTGGGAAAATATCTGTCATGTGGCTCCTTCATATAATTATGAGCAAATTGTCTGTCTTCTTAGTTGAGAGTTCAGGTAAGGTGTTTGGCCCATTTTAAAATTTTAATTGATTGGTTTGTTGTTAGTACTGAGTTTTAAGAGCTCTATGTATATTTTGTATATACGGTTGTATATTTGTGTGTATTACATTTTGAATAATAGCCATTATCAGGTATATCTATGAAATATTTACTCTTGGTCTGTGTCTTCTCCGTTTTCTCGTATGACAGGTATGTCTCAGAACAGAGATTTTTATTTTTTTAATACAATTTATTATAAAATTGGCTAACATACAGTGTGTAAAGTGTGCACTTGGTTTTATGATAGATTCCCGTAGTTCATCACTTACATACAACACCAGTGCTCATGCCAGCAAGTATGCTCCTCAGTGCCCATCACCCATTTTCCCCTCTCTGCCACCACCCCTTCAACCCTCAGTTTATTCTCTGTATTTGAGAGTCTCTTATGGTTTGCCTCCCTCCCTCTCTCTTTGTAATTATTTTTCCCTTTCCCTTCCCCCATGGTCTTCTGTTACGTTTCTTAAGATCCACATATGAATGAAAACATATATCTGTCTTTCTCAAACTGACTTATTTCACTCAGTATATTACCTTCCAGTTCCTTCCACATTGCTGCATATGGCATGATTTCCTTCCTTCTCATTGTTAAGTAGTAATCATTGTATATATAAACCATATCTTCTTTATTTTTAAAATCAATATAGCCCACGTATCGACTCTGTCATAGAACATGCCTTAGGTTTTATATATAAAAAGCAATCACCAGGCACTACATCACCTATAATCTCCAACATCACCTCATAGGAGATTCATACTTTTGCATTTTACACTGAAGTCTGTGATCCACTTTGAGTTCATTTTTTTGAAGACGTTAAGATCTGTGTCCATTTATTGGAAAGACTATCGTCTTTTTGTGATATTTCTTTTAAAGTTTTGTCAAAGATCATTTGACTAAATGTATGAGGGTCTATGTGTACTCTCTATGCTATTGCATTCATCTATATGTCTGTTCTTTGGCTTATACCACACTGTTGTGATTATTTTAGCCATTCCGTAAGTCATGGAGTTGACTAATGTCAGCCTTCCAACTTAGTTCTTCATCTTCAAAACTGTGTTGGCTCTTCAGGGTTTTGACCAGTCCATGCAAATCTGAGCATCAGTTTATCAATATCCACAAATAACTTGCTGTGATTTTTAATGGGATAAAAAAAAAAAAAAAAAACAAATAAAAAAAAAAAAAAAAAAAAAAAAAAAAAAATTAAAAAACAAAAAAAAAAAAAAAAAAAACAATTAATTAAATATTTAAATAAATTAAAAAAAAATTTAAAAATTTAAATAAAAAAAAAAAAAAAAAAATTTAATAAAAATTAATACCAAAAATAAAAATTAAAAGAAAAAAAAAAAAAAGAAAAAAAGATTTAAATTAAAAATACAACATTTAAATAAAAAAAAAAAAAAAAAAAAAAGAATTTAAAAAAAAAAAAAAATAGAAAAATTAAAAATAAAAAAAATAAATAATAAATACAAAAAAAATTTACATAAAATTTAAAAATTTTAAAAAAGAACAAAAAAACAAAATAAAAAAAAAAAAAATTTAAAAAATTAAAACAAAAAAAAAAAAATTTTAATACATTTTAATTAAAAAAATAAATTAATAAGAACAACAAAAAAAAGAAAAAAAAAAAAAGGAAAAAAAAAAAATAACAAGGAACAAAAAAGATAAACATTAAATTTAAAAAAAAAAAACATTAAAAAAGAAAAAAATTTTAATAAAAATAAAAACAAATAAATTAATAATTAATTAATAATAAACCATAAAAAAACAAAAAAAAAAATAGATGTCAAATACAAGTCCCTGCAATTTAACCCTTTCTTTTCTTATAAGAATTTTTTGGCTTTTAGATCTTCATTAAGGCCATTGATTCATTTTAGGTTGATGCTTGTATATGGTGTGAGGAATGCTTGAAATATATTCTCTTCCATGTGAATGAATATCCAGTGATTTCAGCACCCTTTGCTGAAGAGACTATTCTCTGCATTGATTGCACTTGGCACCTTTGTCAAGATGAATTGGTCACAGATGTGTGAGTCATCCAGCCCTGTTCCTTTTCATGTTGACTTGGTTATTTGCATTTCACTACATTTCAATGGGAGATGAAGATTGGCTTTTCCATTTCTGCAAAAAAACCACAAGTAATAATAAGGCCATTCCAATGTTGATAAGGCTTAGATTAAATTGTAGATCACTTTGAGTAGTATTGATCTCTTAACAATACTAAGTATCACAACTCATGGTCTTGAGATGTCTCTCCATTTATTTAGGTTTCCCTTAATTTCTTTAAGCAAATTTGTAATGTCCAGTGTATATGTCTTTCACCTCCTCAGTTTAATTAGATGCTGTTGTAAATAGAATAGTTTGCTTGGTTTCATTTTCAGATCGTTCATAGCCAGTGTATGAAAACACAACTCGTATGAATTCATTGGGACTCTGGATATAACATTATGTCATATGAATATCAAACTACTTCTACATTGTCCATTCCAATTTGGATGCCTTTTCTTTCTTTTTCTTGCCTACTTGCTTTGTCTAGGGTATATGTGAATAGCAGTGATGTTGGTAGACATCTTAGACTATTGATCTGAGGCAGCAGGATTTCAATCTATCCCATAGAGTATGACGTTAGCTGTGAGTGTTCCATACATACTCATTACCACGTTCAAGAAATGTCTCTTTACTCCTAGCTCTGTGACTGCTTTTATCATGAAAGGAGTTTAGTTTTCTCAAATATTTTTCTTGCCTCTCTTGAGATGATGAGCTTTTTTATCCTCTTCATTCTATTAATGTGCTGTATTATGCTGACTGATTTTGTTATAGTAGACCAGTTATAAAATATCTTTTCTCTCCTTTAAAAGGTTTGACATCAGTCTATTTTGCCTGAATTTGATGAGCATATAGCCACCCTAGATGATTCTTAAAGAAGTTCACAATCTAATACCCTGAAAATTAGTTTCATATCTTTTGTCAATTCTTCAAAACATTTGTTTCTTACTTCCTCTGCATTTGTTGACTGTCTCCAACTTACCTCATTGTGCCATTCTGGCCCTTCTTAAATCCATCCAGCACAACACTATAAAAAACTACCATCCCTAAGGACCAGTCAAAACCAGCTTTGTTGTCATTGACATTTATAAGATCAGTGTAAATCTATCATCTTGGCAAGGGCAGAGCATGATGTTATAATAATAAGCTTAATACTTCCAATCCCTAACAAAAAAATAATGGGACAAAAAGACTACAGTCTCACTCAAATAATTTTATAGGTCTTGGGAAAATAGTCAGTGATATACAGAAACCAAACGAATGCCCAGTCAAGAAAGGAGAAAAAAGCACTCTCAGAAAGGTGAGAATTTCCATGGCAATTTTACTCTCTTGTCCCACACTCTTCCTGGAGTGGCATGCCATGGTCCAGAGGCAGCAATATTGGCCCTGCCTTTTGTAAGAGAAGAAGAATTGAAATAATTTGCAACAATGTAGCCACTCTGTACACTCTCACGTGACAGGGTTAGATCTCACCAGACTTGGAGCTCTGACTTGGAATGGTAATATTGCCCAGATATCAGGTTGCTGGGAGTATTGCAAGACAGTAGAGCGCATAATGCCATGTAAAGCCTGCAGGGATATACAGAATTTAGAATCTTGGGGCTAGAGAAAATGTGAATAAAATACAACAAAACACCTCTGTACCTGAACAGAATCTGGATAAGACTCTTTGAGAACTTAAGACATTCAAATTAGCCAAGTATACAGGAAGAATCAGGTGAAGAAAGGCATATACAAAGGTCGAGACAGGAAAAATGCTCAGAAAATACCTAAGAAGATTTTAAGTGGTCTTCCCTGGCTGATCCAAAGTATTAAAACATTCCCTACTAATTAATTAAGGTGTTCAATGGCAGCTTCCAGATACAAGTAGAGGTGACTGTTTTTACAAATGCCCACAACTTTCTGCAAAAGGTCACAAGACATATTAAAAAAAAGAGTAAAAATCTAAAATGTGTCATTTAAAGGAACAAAATAAATCATCAGAAACCCTCTTTGAAGAAACAGACATTACATTTACTAAAGAAATGCTTTGTAATTGACTAAATATGCACAAAAAACTAAAAAAGAAAAGCAGACAAAGGTCAAAAGGAAATTGGGAAGACAATACATGAACAAACAGAGAATAGCAAGAAGCGACAGAGATTATTTTTCAAAAAACAAACAAAATCAAAACCTAAAATGCAATAACTGAATTGAAAAATTCACTAGAGGAGTTTACTGCAGACCAAAACAGACATGAGAAAGACTTAGTACACCTGAAGACAGGACATCTAAAATATCAAGTCTAAAGAACAAAAAGGAGAAAGGGCAAAAAAAGTGAATAGAGTGTAAGGGACTCATAGGACCCCTTCGTGTAGATTAATATATGCATTAGGGAAATCTCAGGGGAATGAGAGAAGAAAGAGTAGAAAGATTGCAGCAAGAAACAATGGCACATATATATAATATGTAGACAACCCTAAAGATTCCTCACACATCAAAAAACGTGTCATGACTAATAAAGAAATTTAGGACAGTAACAAGAAATAAAATCAGCTCAGAATATCAACTGCATTACATTAATAATGAACATTTCAAGAAGGACATTAGAAAAATAATTTCATTTATAATACAATCCAGAGAATAAAAATACACTTAGGAATAAATTTAACCAGAGAGGTAAAAGAGTTTACATTGAAAACTACTAGACACTGCTGAAAGAAATTAAAGAAGACACAAAGAAATAGAAACAAAATTTAGGCTTCATAGATTAGAAGACTTAATACTTTAAAAACGTCGGTACTTCCCAATATGATCCACAGGTACAATGCAATCTCTATCAATAGTGAACAGCATTTTCTTTTGGCAGAAATAGAAATCTATCATAAGCTGATATGGAATTTCGAAAACAATTTGTACCCAAAACAGTGTGGAAGAAAGAACAGAGTTGGATGTCTCACATTTCTTGATATCAGAGTTACTGCAAAGCTACAGTAATCAAAATAGTGTGGTATGACAAAAAGACAGATATGTAGATCAACCAAATAAAATAAAAAGTCTAGAAATACCGCAGGTATGTTCGGTCAAATAACTTTTGACAAAGGTGCCAGACCATTCATTAGGTAAAAGACTGTCTTTTCAGCAAACAATATTGGAATACTGGATATCCACTTGCAAAAAACGAAAGTCAACCATTGGATTATACCATATGCTAAATCAACCTAAAATGGATGACAGACCTAAAAATACAAGCTATACGCATAAACTCTTAGAAGAAAATAGAGAGAGAAGTGTTCATGTCATTGTATTTGGTAGTGATTTCTCATATGAGACACCAACAACACAGACAACAAAATAAAAAATAACTACATTGGATTGCATCAAAAAGAAAAACGTTGTGTGTCATAGGACACTATCAACATAGTGAAAAGACTCATGCCCTCTATCTCAAATAAGTATATAAACTTAAGAAGAAGAAGAAGAAGAAGAAGAAGAAGAAGAAGAAGAAGAAGAAGAAGGGGAAGAAGAAGGGGAAGAAGGAGAAGAGGAAGAAGGAAGAGGAGGAGGAGGAGGAAAAAGAAGAAGGAGAAGGAAATTTTGCAATATATGAAAACACGAATGTACCTTGAGTCCATTATGCTATGTGACATAAGCCAGGCAGAGAAAAACACATATTGTAGGATTTCACTTATATGCAGCATTTATAATAGTCAAATTTATAGAATTAAAAGTGGAAATTGGTTTTCAGGGGGTGGAGGAAAAGAGAACAGATACTTCCTATTCAATGGAAGAAGAGTTATTAAGTTAAGTGAGATCAATAAGATTTACAGATCTGAGGCACCACATGGTACCAACTGTCAATAGTTCATAATGTACTTTCAAAATTTGTTAAACAGGGTAAGTCTCATATCAAGTGTTTTTAACAATATAAAATAAAATTTTAAATAGAATAGAATACAATAAAATAGGCTAGAAAAATAAAAATAAAGCATGTATATTCTAAATGTTTTTCTTGTCACACCCTACTTCACTACCACTTCTCACTGGCAAGCGAGCCACCAACTCTTCACTGAAGAGATCTGCATAAAGTCCCTATTGAGTGCTAAGGTTTTACTTACTTGTGGTACTGGTTCAACAGGTCTGGTCATTAAGCTTCCAACATATATAGTGTTGGGAAGCAGGGGCCTAGCAAATTCAAGGGCAAAGTCAGAGTTAACAAACCACAGCTCTGCTTTCTTTAGAAGATGAGACAAAACTGGCCTAGAGCCTTCTGGAAAATGTTCCTTGATGGTGTTGTCATATGTAGAGTGGATTTGCCATTGTCTCAAGAAGAAATCAAAGAACAACAGAAAATTCTTCACTCTGTCCCAGAAGTCCATGTGGTCCGTTAGCAAGGAATGAAATACGGGAACATAAGACACAGGGTTTGGTAATCCAAGGTCCACAGCTCCAAACTGGGTGGGAAGAAATGACACAAATCGCTTCCCAAGCCTCTCAGCAACCAGGAAAGAACAGAAGTCAGATGCTTCAACAAATACCAGGTCAAAGTTCTCATTTTTTAAAGATTCCATGATATCACTTCTCCTTAACAAATCACTGCATTGAATCCCCAATTGTTCCATTAACTTTACATAGGTGCCAAATGCTTCTCTGTTAAAAAAAAAAATGTATAAAAAGGCAAATATTTATTGAAGAGTGAAGTTCACAATACTTAGAAGAAACTTTAGCTCAAAGAGAATATCTCAGGTAAGAAAGACGATATCTGACAGCAGCCCACCTATTTTACCAGTGTCCAATGAATACTCTGCTCTGTTTCTCCTTCCTAAAATGTTCTCATTTTCCCCTCTCCTTTCTCTAGCCAATCACATCCACCTACCATCCAAATCAATTTAAGATCCTTCCACTTTGGGAGCCATCTCTGACTGTATCTCACGGGTCAATGTCTACTTGACACATTCTGTGATGCTCTCATTATCTTTTACCTGTATACTGACAGCACATGAGTGACTGTCTTTTTTCCCAGCCTGCCTGTGGAAGTAACTTGGTAGCAGAGTCCATCAGTATTGATAATCTAGCTCATTTTTGTTCTTTAAATTTTGTATCGTCTACATTTGAGAGATCACCTCACACAAGGAATTTTGTGATGATAACATTAGAATCCCAATTTTAAGCTGAACACAAGATTTATATCTTTCTAGACTATGAGATAAACAATTGAAAACAAACAAGCTTATTATTACCCTTTCCAGTAGATGCTTCCCAGAGTAGTGAAAAAATAATACTACATCATGTCAGCCCACTGAAAGCCCACAAGTGAGAGCTCATTAGCACTATGCAGATGTCCACGTGCACTTTAGAATAACTTCAAGTGACAACAGATGATTAGCTGAAATTATTCTCTTATTATATTTTTAAATGATTTTACATAATGAATGACTGCTACATATTGTGGATAAATTCAAGATATGAACTACAAATTCCTCAAAAAAAACATTCAGCATATTTGAAATTAAATTAATATATTAAAATACAAGAATGTACTGTGCTCAGCATGCTGCACCATATTTAATATGTGGGTGCAACATGTCTTCAAAGAAATGAAGAGGGGAGAGAGACAAGACATAATAAAAAATTATGAATAACAACACAAGATGATATAGACAATGTTTCAAGAGAGTATTTTAGATCAGATCTCTTCTGGATGAATAATTTGTTCCCCTAGTTTATGTAAAGAGAAAGGCATTATAGAAAAAGCCAGATTTCAGGACTACCTTGATGACTGAACAGAATTTTTAAGGAAAAAGAGGAAGGTGGGGTGAGGCCACTGTATAATTTACCAAGCAAGGCGTGAATATGTCTTTTCCTTCTTCTGTCAAAGATAAGAAACTTTCTATCCATCACAGATAATGACAAAAATTTTGAGGCTAATATCACAGTGTGTGTCATCAAGGCATTTGGGCTTTGAAATGAGTTAAAAATGGCTCTAGGTATGAAAAGTCAGTGTTCATAAGCATGTTTCCATTCTTGAATTTATGTAATAAGAGGAAAAGTAAGTGTAAATGGTGGCTCTGAGATGCCTACTAACAATGAGAAATTCTGCTGTTTATCCTGCCTTCTGTGTTGTGGAGAGTATAGACACAAACACTGTAGGTGAAGTGCTGCCAGGAAGACCTGGGAGGAATCGTCCCCATCACTATACAGATTACACCCATGCTTTCAGCGGAAGAGGCACAGCACACAAAGGGGATGATTCGGAGTGCGAAACCCATCTACTCCATCCGTCCACTGCCTCCCATCATTGGTTTCCCCATCCACCCACCCATCCATCCACCCATCCATCTCTCTTAAACTCATTCCAAGTATCCATGCATCCAACCATTCATTTACATCACTAAAATGGTAAGGTTTTCAATCAGAGAATAAAAGAAATTACCTGCCATGCAAAGCTTCCTTCATATAGAAATCAAAATGTTTCTTTAATTCTTTTTCGTGATCCTCAGGTAGAAGCCAACTGATAACTTGGTATTCATTTTCCTTCTTTTCTAAATAAAATTATTTTAAAACACCAATAAAAATATGTCATTAAGTCAAACAGTGCAGATTAATTTTTGCATGATACCATAGTTTTTCATTCTAATAATTATATATATGTCTGAATGTTTGCTTTTCGAGGTTTTTTGGCTTTTTGCTTGCTTTTTAATCTCTTCAGTCATAGGATCTGATGGTATTTATTGAGAACCTTATAATAATTCAATTACGTTTATTCAATTTAAAGTACCCTAAGTTTCTATTTAAAGCTTTCATGTAAAGTTACAGATACTCTTCATTTTACAGGTGAGAAGACAAAGATAAATGAAGTGTCAGATAATTTGTCAAGGTTGCACATATAGTAAGTGGTACACTTTGTATTTAAATACCTATTTAATTTTATCCCAGCTCCCCAGTCCTTTGTCCTCTAGGGAAATATAATCTTTTTATTACTTAAAAGTGATACATGCAAAGGTTTTTCACTCAGCTCAAAATATGCCACAAGCTAAGTTAACAATAGTCATCCTCTGCAGTCCTACTTACCATTCTGGCATTTCCCCCATAACTCGTGTAATTATGGAGAATAAGCTTAGGAATTCCCTAGCTTGTACTGATGGGTTAACAAAGCATAAAGATATAGAAAGCCAACAGATGTACGCATCCAAGATTAGGTAAAACAGATTAGGTAAACAGGCAAAGGCCCCGGGGAATAGGACAAAGATGTAGGAATAGAAAAGTCTCAGGATGAAAGCATCCAAAATGAGGTAAACAAGATTAGATATTCAGGGCCTAAACAACCCCCAACTTAGTACAATAGAAGAAAGCTGCTTTCATAGGAAAGATGGACAAAAAGAGGAAAACAAGACTTTAGAGACAGCAGCAGAGTGAAGTTGCACAGAGCAGAATTAGCAAAAGAAAGGTGCCTTGTTGACCATGAGGTACCATGCTGTGTCTTTCTTGTCCTCTAGGACAGTTTAGGTAAACAGAGTTGGCATCTCATGCCTGCTGTAAACAACCAATTGCCTGGTGCCAGGATTCTGTTTTGTATTAACCCAAACCCCTAACACAGCAGATCTTCAAAACCCCCTTTCCCCCACACCCATGAGTTAATGTTCATGGCTTCATTATTTCTTTGTGCATGTCCATCACACTTGTAAGCCTTCTGATCCTAATAAAAACAGATCAAGGACCCTCCTCAGGGTTCTTGTCTCCTCCCAGACATTAGCCTCTCTCACATTTCAATCCTGGTCCACTTTCTTGCTGGACAAGAGAGAACTCCAGACCCAGAGTCTATGACATGTAATAAAGAGCCTGGCACCAATTTTGAAGCTAGACTGTTTACAGCTTTCAAGCTCCATCTCCTCTTTAACTTTCTGTGACATATCTTGGAATAACGAAGAGAAAGCGTCAGCCTGACTTCCCTTGTGTGACCAAGATTTTCAGCCGAGCAAGCTAGACCCAACGAGGAGAACTGTCACCTCCATCCCATTCAGAAGCTTCCATAATTGGCATTTAGAAACAAAAATATGGCTTTAGCCATTAAGTGGCCCTGGTCATGTGTTTCACACAAACCTATCATCTGTGTCAGAAATGACTTTGTTTCTAGATTTCAGCATGAACTATGTGATCGACACCAGGCTAGGTAGAACCATGTGACCAATGGTTGTACATCTCAAGGACTGCCCCATTATAAACAGTGCTCTGAGTTAAGATTCCAGTTTACAAGCCCACTGAATGGTGTGAAGAAGGATATTACCATGTCATCTGATGAGATCCACACCTGTAAAAGTATAAGGTGCACTAGAACCCCAGAAAATACCTTTGCTACTGTTGCTGGTTATCTCTGTAGCTATAAGAAAACCTTAATTAACACGGTAACAAGGAAACACTGATAACAATCCCATGGGGTTGATTCAAGGGTTAATTCAAACTCAGCTTAATCTCAGTTCTCTAAAATCACCATCAGGAAGGCCCTTAGCTTTGGTTATACTAATTAGGACATATGACCAGGGCTAGTATATGTAATGACAATGAAAGGAATGGCAGTGAACGGGAAATTACAGCATGGGAGAGTGTGGAAAGAAATTAAAACAGGGGTGTCAGTGAGGAAACAGGTAAGATGGCAGAGAAATAGGGAACTCCATACTTCCCACCTGCATCTCTCAAACAAAAGATGACTGAAGCCAAAGGACTCTGAACTGCAATAGCCTGGGAAGAAAAGAGATGGAGTCCACTAAGAAGACAGCCTCATAGGTGCGTGATTGCAAACTGGGGAAGATAAAAATGGGCCTGGACACGGAAGCACGGAGGGGAGAGTGCCCCCTCTGCTGAGAGACAAAGAGAAAAGAAAGAGCAGCTGGGGACGCATAGAAATGTCCCTGGAGAAGAGAAAAACCTCCTCCCGGGATGGAGAGGGATCCTATCATCCTACTTCTAACTGCAGGGCTTTTGGAAAGAGATCCTATGTCTAACTGGAGAGCTTTCTTTCGGCTGGGTGCCCCAGTCTCAGAAATTCCCTCTGGGATAGATGCTACATAAGGGACGCATTCAGCATCAAGAGGATCAGATCCCCTACTTGATCCCCTGCTAGGAAGTGCCCCAACTTGCTGGATTACATTTTGGGCAGTATCATTAATGCACATGGAGTAAGATCTGGAAATGAGGCTAGGTGCAGGACACAGAATATGAGCCACCTTGGCTGTGCCTGCAGCACAGTAAGATTGGACTCAAAAGAGTGATTTGCAACGCTTGGATCAAGAAGGGACTGGGAGGTTTCCACTTATCTCCCTACAACCACCAAGGCAGGGCCTCAGGGACTGGCCCTCAGGTCCCACATTGGAGGCGAGGTTCACCTACACCAAAGCATGCCCATCTGTGCTGGGCAGCTGCTTTTTTCCCGGAGCTCAGGGCAAGACCAGCATTGATGCATTGCTGTGATTAACTCTAGATCAATTCTTGCTATTCAGATATATTCTTCCTTATCTCATTCTTATCTCTTTCCTCCTCTGGACTGGGTATTCTGGTTATAGGTTTGCTTAAACAGGCATATTTATCCATTCTCTTGATGCATGTTTTACACCTTCAACATTAACTTTCTTTCTCTTTCTCTTACTCTCTCTGAAATAATCTGACTATATAGTTTCTCTGGGTGATATTATCTTCATTTTTTTTTTCTCCTCACCTTCTGCCATATTCTCCTTTTTATCTCTCTGAATTAGGCTTTTAGCCTCTCTGCCTGGTCAATGTTCAATTCCTCTTTCTCCCCACCCCTGTCATTTCTCTCTCTGTATATGCTTTTCCATCAGCACTGGGTACACTCTGTTCTTTAATTGTAGCGGGGATTTCTGGTTTCATGCTTTTATTTTTTAAATGTTTTGTTAAATTTATTTCTGAGAGAGAGAGACACACACACACGGCGTGAGCAGGGGGGGGGGTGTCAGAGAGAGAGGGAGACACAGAATCTGAAACAGGCTCCCAGGCTCTGAGCTAGCTGTCAGCACAGAGCCTGACACAGGGCCTGAATCCACGAACCATGATATCATGACCTGAGATGAAGTCAGAAGCTCAACTGACTGAGTCACCCAGGCGCCCCTGGTTTTATGCTTTTAGACTATCCTTTGAAAAAAAAAAATAGACTGCCCCTTATTGCTCTTTTGGTTTTTTTTTTTTTTTTTTTGGGGGGTTTTTTTTGTTTTTTTTTTTTTTTTTTTTTTTTTTTTGGAAGGGGGGTATTTTTAGGTTTGCTTCTTTGTGTGTTTACATGCTTTTATTCCCTGTTTCTTTATCTGCCTGTTTTCCTTCCAGGGCTACTTCAAGGAACAAGCCAAAGTACACATGGTGGAGAGTCGCAAATATCACTATGAGTAGGGAAATAAAACAACTGAAGTCACAACAAGAGAGACCAAGGCACACCATTAAAAGAAAACATCCTGAACAGAAAGGCCCTGGACAGTCTATTAGCCTCCTTTAATATAGCAGCACTCACAGGTGCAGAGTGCATGACAAGCTTTTAAACTTACAAGAGACAGAAAACTAGCCAGAATGATGACACGGAAGAACTCTCCTCTGAATAAATTCTAGAAAGAAGTGACAGCTAAAGAATTGGTCAAAACAGGCATAAGCAACATAACTGACCAAGAATTTAGAACAATAGTCATAAAATTAATCATTGGGCTTGAAAAAGCCATAGAAGACACCAAGACGCTATTGCTACAAAGATTATGGACCTTACAAATAGTTATGATGAATTTAAAAATGCTATAAATGAGGTGCATAATAAAATGGAGGTCGTCACTACACGAATCGAAGAGTCAGAGAGGAGAATAGATGAATTAGAAGACACAATTATAGAAAAAGAGGAAGCCAAGAAAAAGAGAGATAAATTCATCCAGGAGCATGAAAGGAGAATTTGAGCACTGAGTGATGCAATCAAATGGAACAATATCCTTATTATAGGAATTCTAGAAGACGAAGAGAGAGAGAAAGGGGCAGAAGGGGTACTTGAACAAATTATAGCTGAGAACTTCCCCAATCTGGGGAAGGAAACAGACATTGAAATCCAAGAGGCACAGAGAACTTCCCCCAGATGTAACTTGAACTGATCTTTTTTTTTTTTTTTTTTTACAAATAGTTTATTGTCAAATTAGTTTCTACATAACACTCAGTGCTCATTCCCATAAGTGTCCTCCTCTATGCCCATCCCCCCCTCCCACCCACATCCATCAGTCCTCAGTTTTTGTCAGCATTCAAGAGTCTCTCATGGTTTGCCTCTCTCCCTTTCCCCCACCATTTCCGCCCTTCTTCTCCCCCTTGTTCCTCCGTCAAGTTCCTCCTAATCCTCCTATACGTGCAAACATATGATATTTGTCCTTCTCTGCCTGACTTATTTCGCTCAGCATAACACCCTCAAGGTCCATCCATGTTGCTACACATGGCCAGATTTCATTGTTTCTCATTGCCATGTAGTATTCCATGGTATAGATAAACCACATCTTCTTGATCCATTCATCTGTTGATGGACACTTAGGCTCTTTCCATGTTTTAGCTATTGTGGAGAGTGCTGCTATGAACATTGGGGTACATGTGCTCCTATGCCTCAGCATTTCTGTATCCCTTGGGTAAATTCCTAGCAGTGCTATTGCTGGGTCATAGGGGAGCTCTATTGTTAGTTTCCTGAGGAACCTCCACACTGTTTTCCAGAGGGGCTGTACCAGTTTACATTCCCACCAACAGTGTAGGAGGGTGCCCGTTTCTCCACATCCTCGCCAGCATCTAGAGTTCTCTAATTTGCTCATTTTAGCCACTCTGACTGGCGTGAGGTGGTATCTCAGTGTGGTTTTGACTTGAACTGATCTTCTGCATGACATCATAGTAAAACTGGCAAAATAAAAAGCTAAAGAGACGATTCTGAAAGCAGCTAGGGATAAAACTGTCCTAACATACAAAGGGAGACATATCAGAGTAGTTGAAGACCTATCTACAAAAACTTGTCAGGTAAAAAAGGAATGACAGGAAATCATCAATGTGAAGACAGGAAAAATATGCAGCTAAGAATCCTCTATCCAGCAAGCCTATCATTCAGAATAGGAGACACTAAGGTTTTCACAAACAAACAAAAATTGAAAGAATTCATCACCACTAAGCCAGCCCTACAAGAAATCCTAAGAGGGACTCCATGAGAGAATTATTGCAAGGAACACAAAGTACCAGAGACACCACCACAAGCATGAATCCTACAATGAACACAATGAATCTAAACCCATAGTTTTCAATAATAAGACTGAATGTAAGTGGACTAAATGCTCCAATCAAAAGACATAGGATAGCAGAATGGATAAAAAAAAAAAATCTATTTGCTGTCTACAAGAGACTCATGTTAGACCTGACACATTCAGATTGAAAGTGAGGGGATGGAGAAATATCTATCATGTTACTGGAAGTCAAAAGAAAGGTGGAGTAGCATACTTATATTGGACAAACTGGACTTTAAAGTAAAGGCAGTAACAAGAGCTGAAGAAGGGCATTATATAATAATTACAAGGTCTATCCATCATGAAGAGCTAACAATTATAAATATCTATGCACCGAATTTGGAAGCACCCAAATACGTAAAACAATTAATCACAAACAGAAACAATCTTATTGATAAGAATGTGCTAATTGCAGGAGACTTTAATACTCCACTTACAGCAACACAAAATCACTAAAGAAACAATGGACCTGAATGACATATTGGACCATATGGATTTGACAGATATATTTAGAACTCTACATCCTGAGGCCATGGAATTCACTTTCTTCTCGAGTGCGCATGGCACATTCTCAATAATAGATCACATCCTGGGCCATAAAGTGGCCTTAATAAATGTAAAAGAATTGAGATCTTACCAAGCCCTCTTTCAGATCACAATGCTATGAAACTTGAAATCAATCACAGGAAGAAGTCTGGAAAACCTCCAAAAACATGGAGATGAAAGAACACCCTACTAAAGAATGAGTGGGGCAATCAGGCAATTACAGAAAAAATTTAAAAATATATGGAAACAAATGAAAATTAAAATACAACTATCTAAACTCTTTGGGTTGCAACAAAGGCAGTCCTAAGAGGAAAGTACAGTGCATTCTAGGCCTATTTACAGAAACTAGGAAAAGTGCAAATACAAAATCTAACAGTGCACTTAAAGGAACTAGAAGCACAGCAGCAAGAACAGCCCAAAACCAGCAGAAGTTTTATATCTGGGCAGAAATAAACAATATAGAATCCAAAAAAGACAGTTAAACAGATCAATGAAACCAAGAGTCGTTTTTTTTTAAATAAACAAAATTGATAAACCTCTACCCATGCTTCTCAGAAAGAAAAGAGAGAGCACCCAATAGACAAAATCAATAATTAAAATGGATTTATTACAACCAATCCCTCAGAAATAAAAGCAATTATCAGAGAATACTATGAAAAATTATATGCCAACAAACTGGACAACCTAGAAAAAATGGACAAATTTCTAAACACACACACACACTACCCAAACTCCAACAAGAAGAGATAGAAAATCTGAGTGGACCTATAACTAGTGAAGAAATTGAATCAGATATCAAAAATCTCTCAACAAATAAGATCCCTGGGCCAGATAGCTTCCCTGGGGAATTCTACCAAACATTTAAACCAGTGTTGATTTCCATTCTTCTCAAGCCATTCTAAAATAGAAATGGAAGGAAAACCTCCGGACACATTCTATGAATCGAGTATCACTTTGATTCCTAAACCAGACAGAGACAGAGCAAAAATAAAAAAAAGAGAGAGAGAGAACTATATGCCAATAACCTTGATGAATACAGACGCAAAAATCCTCAATAAGATACTTTCAAATCGGGGCGCCTGGGTGGTTTAGTCGGTTGGGCGTCCAACTTTCGCTTAGGTCATGATCTCGCGGTTCGTGGGCTCGAGCCCCGCGTCGGGCTCTGTGCTGACTGCCAGCTCAGAGCCTAGAGCCTGTTTCTGTCTGTGACTCCTCTCTCTCTAACCCTCCCCTGCTCACGCTGTCTCTCTCTCTCTCTCCTAGAAATAAATAAAACATTTAAAAAATTTAAAAAAAAAAGATACTTTCAAATCAAATTCAGCAGCAAAAAAAAAGAATTATCCACCATGATCAAGTGGGATTCATCCTGAGTTACAGGGTTGGTTCAATATTCGCAAGTCAATCAATGTGATACATCACATTAACAAAAGAAAAGATAAAATCCATATGATCCTGTCAATAGAGGCAGAAAAAACATTTGACAAAATACAGTATCCTTTCTTAATAAAGATCCTCAAATAAGTCAGGATAGAAGGAAGGTACTTAAACATCATAAAGCCATTTATGAAAAGTCCACAGCTAATATCATCCTCAATGGGGAAATCTGAGAGCTTTCCCCCTGAGATCAGGAACATGACAGGGATGTCCACTCTCATCACTGTAGTTTAACATAGTGCTAGAAGTCCTAGCATCAGCAATCAGACAACAAAAGGAAGTAAAAGGCATCAGAATTGGCAAAGATGAAGTCAAACGTTCATTTTCACAGGTGACATTATACTCTATATAGAAAATCCAACAGGCTCCACCAGAAGTCTACTAGAACTGATCCATGAATTCACCAAAGTTGCAGGGTACAAAATCAATATACACAAATCGGTTGCATTTTTATACACCAATAATGAAGCAACAGAAAGAGAAATCAAGAAACTGACCCCATTCACAATTGCACAGAAAAACCATAAAATACCTAGGAATAAACCTAGCCAAAGATGTAAAAGATCTGTATGGTGAAAACCATAGAAAACGTATGAAGGAAATTGAAGAAGACACAAAGAAATGGAAAAACATTCCATGCTCATGGATCGGAAGAATAAATATTGTTAAAATGTCATTCCTACCCAAAGCAATCCACACATCCAATGCAATCCCAATCAAAATTACACCAGCATTCTTCTCAAAGCTAGAACAAACAATCCTATAATTTGTATGGAACCACAAAAGACCCCGAATAACCAAAGTAGCATTGAAGAAGAAAACCAAAACAAGAGGCATCACAATCCCAGACTTTAGCCTCTACTACAAAGCTGTAGTCATCAAGACAGTATGGTATTGGCACAAAAACAGACACAGAGACCAATGGAATAGAATAGAGAACTCAGAATTGGACCCACAAATGTATGGCCAACTAATCTTTGACAAAGCGGAAAAGAGTATCCTATGGATAAAAGACAGTCTCTTTAACAGATGTTGCTGGGAGAACGAGACAGCAACATGTAGAAGAATGACACTAGACCACTTTCTTATATCTTACGCAAAAATAAACTCAAAACAGGTGAAAGATCTAAATGTGATACAGGAAACCATCAAAGCCCTAGAGGAGAAAGCAGGACACAAACTCTGTGGTCTCAACTGCAGAAATTTCTTACTCGACACATCTCCAAAGGCAAGGGAATCAAGAGCAAAACTAAACTATTGGGACCTCATCAAGATAAAAAGCTTCTGCCTGGCAAAAGAAACAATCAATCAATCAATCAATAAAACAATCAATAAATAAAACTCATAGGCAACCGAGAGATTGGGAAAAGATAGTTGCAAATGACATATCAGATAAAAGGCTAGTATCCAAAATCAAGAAGGAACTCACCAAACTCCACACCTGAGAAACAAATAATCCAGTGAAGAAATGGGCAGAAGACATGAACAGACACTTCTCCAAAAAGGACATCCAGATGGCCAACATACACATAAAACGATGCTCAACATCCTTCATCATCAGAGAGACAATAATCAAAACCACACTGAGATACCACCTCATGTCCGTCAAAGTGGCTACAATGAACAAATCAGGAGCCTCTAGATGCTGGTGAGGATGTGGAGAAATGGGCACCCTCCTACACTGTTGATGAGAATGTAATCTGGTGAGCTCCTCTGGAAAACAGTGTGGAGGTTCCTCTAAAAATTAACCAGAGAACTCCCCTATGACCCAGCAATAGCACTGCTAGGAATTTACCCAAGGGATACAGGAGTGCTGATGCATAGGCGCACGTGTACCCCAATGTTCATAGCAGCACTTTCAACAATAGCCAAATCATGGAAAAAGCCTAAATGTCCATCAACTGACGAATGGATCAGAAGATGTGGTTTATCTATACAGTGGAATAATCCATGGCAATGAGAAAGAATGAAATCTGGCCATGTGTAGCAACTTGGATGGAACTCGAGGGTGTTATGCTAAGTGAAATAAGTCAGGCAGAGAAGGACAGATACCATATGTTTTCCTTCATGTGTGGAACAGAAGAAAGTTAACAGAGGACCATGGGGGAGGGGAAGGGGGAAAATAGTTAAGGAGAGGGAGGGAGGCAAACCATAAGAGACTCTTAAATACTGAGAACAAATTGAGGGCTAGTCGGGGTGGGGGAGAGGGAAAGGGGGGTGATGGGCATGGAGGAGGGCACTTGTTGCGATGAGCACTAGGTGTTATATGGAAACCAACTTGACAAAAACTAAAAAAATAAAAATAAAACAGAGGTCTCAGCTTTTGATATATGTGGAATCTAACATTACTTTTAAAATATTATAACAGAGAAAGGACACAGATTGGCTTTTGTGACTTTCATCAAAGGTTCTAAATCACTTTTAACATTAGATGAGACCCCCCAGTGACATACTTTAGCTTAGTCAATACCGGGGAAAATAACAGATGTCCCATGAGAGCCCACCCAAATTTATCAAAGTACCTCTATTGTTGGGAGTTACAAAATATTAGATAGAGGACAATTGTGCATGCCCTATCTTAACTACTGGGATTAAATATCCCATAGTTATAGTAACCATTGATTAAGTTACCTCACAATAGCTATGGTTGCTCCTATATAAGAAGTTATAAAATAAAATTAAGGTTTTAGCACTAACACCATGGCTAAAAGGAACTCGCTGTGATCTGCCCAATATATTAAAACTTTTAATGCAATGAAATATGTTTCAATAGAGTGACTTCAAGGATGAAATCCCTTTTATAAAGGATCCACTAACAAAGAAGTGATTATCCCCACCAGTTCTCCATTCAATAGCCAAATTTGACTATTCTTAAACTTGAATGATTGGTGCCTCAGTGGCTTACTATGACTTTAATGCCAAAGTCATCATATCAGAGCCTCCATTTCCAATCTTACTGAAATTGCTGACTATATCTAAGTACTAATAAATTCTTTACAATCATAGATGTGGTAATAGATTCTGTTTAATTCCTCTTTCAACAAGGTTCAGCTGTAGTGTCTCTTCACCTTTACCTTTGAAGGATTCAAATAACTTGTAACTTGGCTTCTCATGGACTACCTCAACAGCCCTCTCACAGGTTTAGCCAGCAAGATCGTCAACCACGTTTAACTTTCTCCAGAAGCACATGTATGAGAGTACATTGAGGGCAGTCTCCTTTTGTAGAGATTCATGGAGCACATTCAAGACACAAACATTCACATAGGAGCTCACAAAGAGGGATGTGCTGCTGCCCCACACAAAGCACAAGCCATGGCACCTCGGTTAAATACCTGGGAAGAATTACTTGTTCAGTTGAAGGTCTTTCCATCCTTGACACTGTCAAGACACACCTATTATGGTTCCATTTCCAGGATGAGAGTATAAGGAACTTTCTTGGACACTCTTTCAAATAGAACTGGTAAAAAATGTATACACACATACACACTCACACACACACACACACACACACACACACACACTCACATCTCCTGATGTAGACAACAATTCCAAATACCAACTTTATCTGAAATAACTATTTGGGAATTCTGTGGCCAATTGATGGTTTCCAACTACCAGAGGAAGTCTTTAACTCTAAATTGCAGATAATTTCAGTCAATTTGAGCTCTCTCAACAGTGGTAGCTACCCATCCCCCATCCCTTAGTCTGCAGCAGGAAGCTGTATACATGTGTTCATAGAGCAGCTTGTACACAGGTTTCAAGAGCCTGAGTGGGCAGAAAATAACCTTGTACAAATATCAAGTATCTGTGCTCTGATTGCTAATTGTTGCTCTGATCACAGACATGCAGACAAAGAAGCGGGCAGCATGGTTTCTGCATCATACTCTATTATTGCAGCCACCTCCCTCTCTGGCTAAATGGACTTCCAGAGGTCTTAAAAGATTGATATCCCCTTTTCCCCCTCATTTTCTCATTTTCCCCATTTGAAGGGGAATTATTAAAAGCTGGGACATTGTAAAACAACTACTTATACCAGGAAAACTAGAAAGTGCCATGGAAAATGTTCAGAAAAGACCTGAGAACAGTGAAATTTACACCTTGGTTTGATCCTCAACACAAACAGTATAAAACAGTATAAAGCAACTTTTAAATATAAATAAACAAAATTAATAACAAAAATTCTGCAAACCCTGGAGAAGGGACAAGAGATTCATCTTCAGATTTACACATTGTTATATTCAAGTGTTCAGTTTTCAACAAAAATCATAAGACACACCAAGAAATAGGAAACTAAGGCCTAGTGCAAAGAAAATAAGAAATTAACAGAAACTGTCCCTAAGAATGACCTGATGGCAGATATACTAGACAATGACTTTAACTGCCTTAAAGATTCTCAGAGAATTAAAGGAAGATGTGGAGAAAGTCAGAGAAATGGTGTTTACAAAATGTCACTAAAGGGGTAATTGGGATGTCTGGGTGGCTCAGTCGGTTAAGTGTCCAGTTTTTTCTTTATTTCAGCTCAGATAATGCTCTCATGGTTTGTAAGATCAAATCCCACATCAGACTCTGGGCTAACAGCATGAAGCCTACTTGGGATTCTCTCTCTTCCTCTTTCCCTTTCTGCTCCTCCCCAGCTCATACTCACTCTCTATCTCTCTTAAAATAAATGAAAAAACATTTTAGTGTTTTTAAATGAAGGTAGAAAATCTAAAGAGAAACCAAAAACAAATTCGAGCACTGAAAACTATAATAAATGAAATGAAAATTTCTCTCAAGGGATTCAAAGGCAGATTTAAACAAGCAGAAGAAATTATCAATGAACCTCAAGAGAAGACAATAGAAATGGTCAAGTCTGAGGAATGGAAAGTTAAAGGATTAAAGCAAAGGGAACATAGACTAAGGGTCCAACATATGCCCTGTAGAAAGAAAGGCAAGAAAGAACATATGAAGTAACAGTGGTTGAAAACCTTCTAAATTGGATGAAAGATTTGAATATAGATATCCAGAAAACTCATCAAACTCCAAGTAAAGAGAACCCAGACACCCATATCAGGACACACTATATCAAAATACAGAAAGAGAAAGAGGGAATATTAAAAGTAGCAAGAGAAAAGTGATTTATCACATACAAGTGATTGTTAGTGAGACTGTCAGATTTCTAATTAAAAATTTTGGAGGCAAAAAACAAGGATTGTCAAAATAAAAATTTATTACCAGGCAACTCTGTCCATCAAAAATCAAGGAAAGTTAGGGGCGCCTGGGTGGCTTAGTCGGTTTAGCGTCCGACTTTCGCTTGGGTCATGATCTCGCAGTTCATGGGTTCACGCCCCGCGTCGGGCTCTGTGCTGACTGCCAGCTCAGAGCCTGGAGCCTATTTCAGAGTCTCTATCTCCCTCTCTCTCTGACCCTCCCCTGCTCACGCTGTCTCTCTCTCTCTCTCCTAGAAATAAATAAAAATATTTTTTTAAAAAATCAAGGAAAGTTAACATAATCCCAGAGAAACAAAACTAAGGGTATCTCTTACCACTAGAACTGCCCTGGGAGTAAAGCGCAAGGCACTTCTTCAGGGAAGAAAGAAAGGACACCAGAGGGTAACTTAAAGGTATATGAAAAATATAAAGATTTTTAAAGAAGTAAATGAATGGGCAATATAAAAGCTACTATTATTGTAATAATGCCCCTAACTACGTTATTGTTTTCTATATGATTTAAGAGACTAGTATATTAAAAAATTATTTGTTTAAAAACTACTATCATTATTTGAAATTTGTAATTCCACTCAAATTTTCTACATAAGTTAACATACTAATGCATTCAAATTAATGATAATTTATGTTTGGGCTTACATAATGTATAAAAATGTAATTGTGTGACATCAACTAACCAAAGAGTTGGAGATAAAGCCATCTAGGAACAGAATGTTTGACTGTTATTAAGCTGGTATAAATTAAAATCTGAGTGTCATAGATTTAGCAGGTTAAATGACATCCCCATGGTAACCACACACACAAAAAAGCTGTAAAATATACACAAAAGAAAATGAGTAAAGAATTAACATTTTACAGGGGCGCCTGGGTGGCTTAGTCGGTTAAGCGTCCGACTTTTGCTTAGGTCATGATCTCGCGGTTCGTGGGTTCGAGCCCCACGTCGGGCTCTGTGCTGACCGCGAGCTCAGAGCCTGGAGCCTGTTTCAGTCTGACTCCCTCTCTCTCTGACCCTCCCCTGCTCACGCTGTCTCTCTCTCTCTCCTAGAAATAAATAAATAAATAAATAAATAATAATTAAAAAAAGAATTGACATTTTACAATGAATCACCTAACCACAAAAGAAACAGTAATTCAGAGAGTAAGAGACAAAAACGTTATAAGGCATATAGAAAACAAATAGCAAAATGACAGAAGTAAGTCTCCTTATCAGTAATTACTTTAAATATACATGGATTAAATTCTCCAAAAAAGACAGACATTGGAAGAATGGATAAAAGTACACGACCAACTTGTAATAGCTTCATATGGTGAGAGATGGTAGCTACACACGTGAGTATAGCATAACATATATAGTTGTATTTAAAGATGGAAAAATGTGGGAGTGGGTGTGTGTGTCAACTATACTTCAATAAAACATATTAATAAAATAATTACAAATAAAAAGATATTGACAATGGGGGAAACAGGGTAAAGGATGTATGGGAACTTTCTGTATTGTCTTTGCAACATTTCCACATACAGTGGAATCTATCTGCAATGACACAGATAGACTAAAAGGAAAATGATGGGGAAAAAATACTCCATGCAAGTAATAACCAAAAGAAATCAGAAGCCAATGAGCAAATGTCAAATACAATTGATTTTAATAAAAAAATTATAAGAGATAAAGAAAAACATTATATATTGATAAAAGTTTCAATACAGCAAGAAGATATAAAATTATACACATACAGACACCTAATTAGAGACCATCAAAATATCTAAAACAAAAGCTGAAAGATTTGAAGGTATAATACACAGTTTTATAATAATCTTTGAAAATTTTATATTCCGTGCTAAATAATGGATAAAATAACCAGAGCATGAGGTAAAATATGCAGATATGGCACCATGGGAGCCAGGTCTACACAGTCTAACAAGATATCTGGCACTTAACATAAAACATGCGTACACACACACACATTTTTCCATTTTTATTTTTATTTTTTTTTTATTTTTTATTATTTATTTCTAGGAGAGAGAGAGAGAGACAGCGTGAGCAGGGGAGGGTCAGAGAGAGAGGGAGTCACAGACTGAAACAGGCTCCAGGCTCTGAGCTGGCAGTCAGCACAGAGCCCGATGCGGGGCTCGAACCCACGAACTGCGAGGTCATGACCTAAGCGAAAGTCGAACGCTTAACCGACTAAGCCACCCAGGCGTCCCCACATTTTTCCATTTTTAAATACAACTAGATTAAAAAAGATTTTGTGCTAAGCAATGCTATACAAAAGACATTGTCTATCCTTTCCTGGGATAGATACATTTAATAATTACAAAAAAAAAAAAAAAACATACTTGGGACTAAATAATCTCCTTCGTAAAGAAGCATGGTGACATTATGACCATGATCTTGAAGAATCTGAGATACCCGGTCCAGCAGTAGATAATGGCTTCCACCTAGGAACAATACAAAATTTCATTTTTGTAAAGGTGAGAACAGAGGGTCTGAAATTGATGTGGGGGATCTGGAAATACAGGGTAAGTCATCAGAGAGTTGGTGGTCAGTAGAAGAAGATGTGTTCTTTTAGTCCTTTGGTTTTGTTTTGGGTAAGCCCCAGACCATATACCCACATTCTATCTCACCAAATCTTAATATGTAGCAATCTTCCATGAAAGATTCTTTTTTGCAATTCAAGATTTCCATGCCAGTGAGATAAGTTTCTCTATGCTAAAGCCTGAAGGATCTCTTGATCCTAGGCACATGCTGCAATTTAGGCTGACTTTATGGATACTGTGTTCTTTAGGAAAGGAAATTTGCTGTAAATTTTGGCACAAGACTATGAGAATAATGGGGTTCTAAATAACAATCATTCAAAACTATTTCTGGAGTCCCTCTCTCTGGAAATTTATGTTAATGTGGAAGCCAGAAACATGAGAACATGAATATCAGTCCAAGCCACAGAAACAGAAGAGGGTAGAGTCACTGCTCAGAGACAAGATTCTTCAGACCGAAACATATTTGTCCAGATGTTCCTCAGTTGGGGCCCACATTTTACTAAACATCAAATTAAGGCATTCAGGATAAATGTGAGCCCTTTGGGTGGAACTATAGGATCCTGTATTCATGTAAGACTGGGTCATCACCCAACACAGGAAAATCCTGGGATCCTAAGGAAACAGAAGCATAATTCTCTGGGGAGATACAGGTTATCACACCAATACCTAAAGCCATGTAATATCATGTAGCAGTTTTCTTGAATCTATGGGTCAAGGGATAGAATTTGCCTATGTTGGAAAGCAAGGGTTGTTTGAAAGATAATGATCTCATGATGATTGAGTCAAGAGAGAAATGTAGAACTACAGCAATGGTGTATATCTGTAGATATTGTACTAGTTTTTTATATCTATATTCCTGTTGCCTGAGGTAACACAGATTACATAAAACACAAACCCTACACCCTCAGATGCCTTCTCTGGCTCACTTTTAACCCCTGCAAGAAATGGATGCAGAGGAGAAGGCTTCCTACAGAGGGAGCCATTCCTGAGGACGATGATGAGCCTAGTGCATTCCCGGAAAGGCAGGCCTTCCAGCCCCTGCAAACCTCACTTGCCCCCGTCTCAGAGTCCAGAGGACATGCAATTTCAAGAGATGAGGCAGCTCTTTTTTCTGTTGCTTCTATCATTAAAAACAGATTTAAAATGGAAAGCAGGTTTTTCAATACTGATTTTTAGGAATCCCCACTGTAAAGAGTAGAGTCTGAGGAAGAAGACAGTTTTGAGGTAAGAAATCGTGAATGAAGTCCGTGTGTGTGACATCAGGGAGGTCTGGTGTGCTCTTGCAAAAGGCCCCTGATTTCCCTGACCCTCAGGTTCCCTGTCAGGAAATAAAAGTGGGATGCCCAATTAGGTTAACTCTATGGTTTCTTCTAGCCCAGATTCCCAGATTCCTGGGGATCTACAAGTGACCCTGGGAGCCCTCTATCCTGTCAGGATAGATCCAAAAACTTTCTTGAACACCAAAATAAATGTTCCCGTTCCCTTTGGGGCAAAAGCAAAAGCATTAAAACTGGGTTCACGCAGAATTAACTGCTTCACTGTCCTTCAAAACCTTCTAGCAGCAAGGGCAAAAGAGAGGGGCTCCCAATACCTTGATTGTTTGAGGGCCTCTCCTCTGCCAAGCCAGTTTCCACGCTTCCTTTTAGTGAAATATGCCCATTTGTGCTGCTGCTCTCCAGGAGCCCCTGTCCTTGGCCTCCAAGAGCCTAAAACTGACCTCACCTTCTTCTGCTTTCTACTGGCAAACACTGCACCCTCAGACTTTTAGGGTGTGCCTCTGAAAGTCCCAGTTGCACCAGGAGTAGGCAGCTCAAGGTCTCCAGGTCAGCACTGGATCTAAATTCTGGCCCCAGCAATGCAGAATAGGACACACCTCCAGAGCAGATAAAGAGAGAGGAAAGGGAACTGTTGTTTTCTCCAAAGCTAACTTCCCCATCCCAGCAGTGGGGACTCCTCTCTGACCCCCATGTCTCTCCTGCCTCTCCCTCCTCTGGCCTGGAATCCAAACAAGGTCTGGAAAATTACAAAGAATGACCTATGAAGCAGGGCTAGTTTGCCTGAGCACCTGGGATGCATCTGTGTCTGTTCTCCTTCCAGCACTCACCCAATGAAGATACCGTCAGAATTTTGGCGGCCTCTGAGAGCAGGAACTCAGACAGAAGAAAACCTGCTAGCAGCAGCACCCGCTGGCCTGCCATGCTGACTCCTGTACCAGCTGTAGATCCCAGCCCTGTGCCCAGAGCTCTGTGCTCTCTCTGCTTCTCTGAGTCCCGCACAGCGACCTGTATGACCTGGGGACAAGCTATGCACTGGCAGCCAAGGAAAGGCTCTGGTAGGAAGCTTGGTAAGAGGTGAGAGATAGATCCTGTCTGTTTTCTTTTCTGTTAGTGGCTTTTGGCCCTTCTGCCCCTTCTCTTGGGTGCTTGCTTCACTGGATATTTGATCTTCACCCTCCCTAACCATGGGCAACAGGAAGGAGGAGTGAGTGAGCTCTCCTTAACCCTTCTCTGACCAAGTAATAACCACACTCTGCAGAGAAGATATTCTGAACCAGGAATGGGTGGGACTTTAGGAAGTCACTTCCAAGATAGTTCCACCTCCAGATGACTCAGACCTATCTCCATTTCAGGGAACTTTCCCCCAAATTTTCCCACCTCTTAATCGCACTATTGACCTCCTATTGTCATCCCTATGCCGCATTTTCCCAGGTACCTCCTTAATCTCTTCCAGTTCCAATGACAAAATCCCAGACGCTTATTCCCAAAGGAAAATGACCTACATTTATTGCTCAAGGAATTTCTTTGGAAAGTAACTTACTGATGAAAGTGCCAGTGTCCCCAAATGTTCAGCACCCCTGGATGGATGGCCAAGTGATTACCTGAAGGACTGAACCTCTAAAGGTTAAGTCTATAATTCTGAATGGTCATGACAAAATAGGACTCTGTGGTGGTTCTGTTCTTATAAATGTTTGAAATTATTTATTATAAAGATTTTTAAACTCTGTCAGCATTATTCCATTTCTTTCCCTTCATGTTCTTTCTATGTTTGTGCTATAGTATAAAGCTATGTGATTACATGCATATACTTTCAAAGTAACTCTCTGTTCAGATATTATATCTCCCCAGTGAAAAAAATAATTTGAATTAGGAAGGCACAATTTTTTAATTAGGGCAATCACACTACTCTACCTACAAACCTTACTTCATTCCCTCCCATTGTCCCAATAATATCCCATGATCTGAAATGAATTTGCTGGTGCAGGAACCAACCCAAGATCACACATTGCATTTAGTTATCATGTCTAAATCATCTCCTTTAGTAAGGATTTGTTTCTCAGCTCTTCTTTGTCTTTCTTGTCATTGATGATTTTAAAAGTACAAGCTGCTTATTTGTATGATGGATCCAAAGATGGGTTTGTCTGATGTTTTCTGACTATATATACTTCAGGACACTAGGGGACTTAGTGGGAATACTCGTAAGTGATGTTGATTCCATCTCAGTGAATCACACTGAGAAACACATGATGTTGGATGTTCCTATCATTAGAGATAACTCTATCGCTTATTTAAGGTGGTATTCACAAATATTCTTGACCGTAGTATTGATATTTTTTACCTTATAATTAGGAAATGAGATGTGGGGAGACAATTTGTTTTGTTTTGTTTTGTTTTGTTTT